GAACTAAAGGCATAGAAACCATAAATGACTTGGTAATAGGAAATACATGTATTTCCATGACAGAATTAAAAAGCAATTTTGGACTGACCAATGTAGATATTTTCAAGATATCACAAAGTGTGGATTTGAAATCTTTTGGATATTAGAGCAATCTTGAGGAAATCCTATTTGAGTCAGAAAATAACATTCATATGATAGGTAAGATATACAAAACATTGCAGAGAGCCTATCCAACTGACAACCTCTTAGAAAAAAATATTTTCTATTGGAATCAAGACTTATAACTGATATTGGCACAATATGGAGGGAATGTTGGAACATAACAAACAAAATACCATACTAACCTTATACCATATACAGTGCATTTGGAAACTATTCAGACCCCTTCACTTTTTCCACATTTTGTTATGTTACAGCCTTATTCTTAAATGGATTAAGTAAATTTTTTCCCTCATCAATCTACACGCAATACCCCATAATGACAAAGCAAAAACAGGTTTTTAGATTTTTTTGCAAATTTATTAAAAATAAAAACAGATATACATTTTTACATTTACATTTAAGTCATTTAGCAGACGCTCTTATCCAGAGCGACTTACAGTTAGTGAGTTCATACATTTTCCATACTGGCCCCCCATGGGAAACGAACCCACAACCCTGGCATGGCAAGCGCCATGCTCTACCAACTGAGCTACAGGAGGCCTACCTCATTTACATAAGTATTCAGACCCTTTGCTATGAGACTCGAAATTGAGCTCAGGTGCATCTTGTTTCCATTGATCATCCTTGAGATGTTTCTACAACTTGATTGAAGTCCACCTGTGGTAAATTCAATTGATTGGACATGTCAGAGCAAAAACCAAGCCATGAAGTCGAAGGAATTGTCTGTAGAGCTCTGAGACAGGATTATGTCGATGGCACAGATCTGGGGAAGCGTACCAAAAAATTCTGCAGCTTTGAATGTCCCCAAGAACACAGTGGCTTCCATCATTCTTAAATGGAAGAAGTTTGGAACCACTAAGACTCCTCCTAGAGCTAGCCGCCCGGCCAAACTGAGCAATCAGGGGAGAAGGGCCTTGGTCAGGGAGGTGACCAAGTAACCCGATGGTCACTCTGACAGAGCTCCAGAGTTTGTCTGTGGAGATGGGAGAGCCTTCCAGAAGGACAACCATCTCTGCAGCACTCCACCAATCAGGCCTTTATGGTAGAGTGGCCAGACGGAAGCCACTCCTCAGTAAAAGGCACATGACAGCTCGCTTGAAGTTTGCCAAAAGGCACCTAAATGACTCTCAGACCATGAGAAACAAGATTCTCTGGTCTGATGAAAGCAAGATTGAACTCTTTGGCCTGAATGCCAAGCGTCACATCTGGAGGAAACCTGGCACCTCCTTATGGTGAAACATGGTGGGGATGTTTTTCAGCAGCAGGGACTGGGAGACTAGTAAGGATTGAGGGAAAGATGATCAGACCAAAGTACAGAGAGATCCTTAATGAAAACCTGCTCCAGAGCGCTCAAGATCTCAGACTGGGGCGAAGGTTCACCTTTCAACAGGACAACAACCCTAAGCACACAGCCAAGACAACGCAGGAGTGGCTTCAGGACAAGTCTCTGAATGTCCTTGAGTGGCCCAGCTAGAGCCCGGACTTGAACCCGATCGAACATCTCTGGAGAGACCTGAAAATAGCTATGCAGCGATGCTCCCCATCCAATCTGACAGAGCTTGAGAGGATCTGCAGAGAGGAATGGGAGAAACTCCCCAAATACAGGTGTGCCAAGCTTGTAGCATCATCCCAATAAGTCTCAAGACTGTAATCGCTGCCAAAGGTGCTTCAACAAAGTACTGAGTAAAGGGTCTGAATACTTATGTAAATGAAATATTTCCATTTTTTTTTTGCAAAAATGTCTAACAACCTGTTTTTGCTTTGTCATTATGGGGTATTGTGTGTAGATTGATGAGGGGGAAAAACGATTTAATCAATTTTAGAATAAGGCTGCTAGTACCACAATTTGGAAAAAGTCAAGGGGTCTGAATACTTTCCGAATGCACTGTATATAGAAATATACAGTATGTAAAGAAATACATAAAGTAAATATGTGGTATAATGTCATTTCTGAAATTATTTTGTGTGTGTGTGTGTGTGTGTGTGTGTGTGTGTGTGTGTGTGTGTGTGTGTGTGTGTGTGTGTGTGTGTGTGTGTGTGTGTGTGTGTTGTGTGTGTGTGTGTGTGTGTGTGTGTGTGTGTGTGTGTGTGTGTGTGTGTGTGTGTGTGTGTGTGTACAGTCGTGGTCAAAAGTTTTGAGAATGACACAAGTATTGGTCTTCACAAAGTTTGCTGCTTCAGTGTTTTTAGATATTTTTGCCAGATGTTACTATGGTATACTGAAGTATAATTACAAGCATTCCATAAGTGTCAAAGGCTTTTATTGACAATTACATTACGTTTATGCAAAGAGTCAGTATTTGCAGTGTTGACCCTTCTTTTTCAAGACCTCTGCAATCCGCCCTGGCATACTGTCAATTAACTTTTGGGCCACATCCTGACTGATGGCAGCCCATTCTTGCATAATGCTTGGAGTTTGTCAGAATTTGTGGGTTTTTGTTTGTCCACCCATCTCTTGAGGATTGACCACAAGTTCTCAATGGGATTAAGGTCTGGGGAGTTTCCTGGCCATGGACCCAAAATGTCGATGTTTTGTTCCCCGAGCCACTTAGTTATCACTTTTGCCTTATGGCAAGGTGCTCCATCATGCTGGAAAAGGCATTGTTCATCACCAAACTGTTATTGGATGGTTGGGAGAAGTTGCTCTCGGAGGATGTGTTGGTACCATTCTTTATTCATGGCTGTGTTCTTAGGCAAAATTGTGAGTGAGCCCACTCCCTTGGCTGAGAAGCAACCCCACTCATGAATGGTCTCAGGATGCTTTACTGTTGGCATGACACAGGACTGATGGTAGCGCTCACCTTGTCTTCTCCGGACAAGCTTTTTTCCAGATGCCCCAAACAATCGGAAAGGGGATTCATCAGAGAAAATGACCTTACCCCAGTCCTCAGCAGTCCAATCCCTGTACCTTTTGCAGAATATCAATCTGTCCCTGATGTTTTTCCTGGAGAGAAGTGGCTTCCTCGCTGACCTTCTTGACACCAGGCCATCCTCCAAAAGTATTTTCCTCACTGTGCATGCAGATGCACTCACACCTGCCTGCTGCCATTCCTGAGCAAGCTCTGCACTGGTGGTGCCCCGATACCGCAGCTGAATCAACTTTAGGAGACGGTCCTGGCGCTTGCTGGACATTCTTGGGCGCCCTGAAGCCTTCTTCACAACAATTGAACCTCTCTCCTTGAAGTTCTTGATGATCCGATAAATGGTTGATTTATGTTCCTTTAAATCAACTATAACAGTATCATGTCAGGGTGAAACTATTTTTATTTAAATTCTAAACAGGGTCTTAATATTGGACAATCCTGCAAATGACTGAATTCCTTACTTTTTTCCTGTGATGGCACATTTAATAAATTGCATAACAGCACTTTTTCAAATCATGAAACAGTGTCAGTCAGGTGCTTCTGAATGTTCACAAAACATTTTTATTCAGGATGATGCGGTCCTTTGGTTCTGGGATGTAACAGCCAATACCTGTGAAAACAAGGTCCAAATACAGTTGAAGTCGGAAGTTTACATACACCTTAGCCAAATACATTTAAACTCAGTTTTTCACAATTCCTGACATTTAATCCTAGTAAAAATTCCCTGTCTTAGGTCAGTTACGATCACCACTTTATTTTAAGAATGTGAAATGTCAGAATAATAGTAGAGAGAATGATTTATTTCAGCTTTTATTCTTTCATCACATTCCCAGTGGGTCAGAAGTTTACATACACTCAATTAGTATTTGGTAGCATTGCCTTTAAATTGTTTAACTTGGGTCAAACGTTTCAGGTAGCCTTCCACAAGCTTCCCACAATAAGTTGGGTGAATTTTGTCCCATTCCTCCTGACAGAGCTGGTGTAACTGAGTCAGGTTTGTAGGCCTCCTTGCTCGCACACACTTTTTCAGTTCTGCCCACAAATGTCCATAGGATTGAGGTCAGGGCTTTGTGATGGCCACTCCAATACCTTGACTTTGCTGTCCTTAAGCCATTTTGCGATATAGGACTCGTTTACTGTGGGTATCGATACTTTTGTACCTGTTTCCTCCAGCATCTTCACAAGGTCCTTTGCTGTTGTTCTGGGTTTGATTTGCACTTTTCGCACCAAAGTACGTTCATCTCTAGGAGACAGAACGCGTCTCCTTCCTGAGCGGTATGACAGCTGCGTGGTCCCATGGTGTTTATACTTGCGTACTATTGTTTGTAAAGACGAACGTGGTACCTTCAGGCGTTTGGAAATTGCTCCCAAGGATGAACCAGACTTGTGGAGGTCTACAATTGATTTTCTGAGGTCTTGGCTGATTTCTTTGGATTTTCCCATGATGTCAAGCAAAGAGGCACTGAGTTTGAAGGTAGGGCTTGAAATACATCCACAGGTACACCTCCAATTGACTCAAATGATGTCAATTAGCCTATCAGAAGCTTCTAAAGCCATGACATCATTTTCTGGAATTTTCCAAGCTGTTTAAAGGCACAGTCAACTTAGTGTATGTAAACGTCTGACCCACTGGAATTGTGATACAGTGAAATAATCTATCTATAAACAATTGTTGGAAAAATTACATGTGTCATGCACAAAGTAGATGTCCTAACCGACTTGCCAAAACTATAGTTTGTTAACAAGAAATGTGTGGAGTGGTTGAAAAACAAGTTTTAATGACTCCAACCTAAGTGTATGTAAACCTCCGACTTCAACAGGTCATTTTGTGTTTCAGTATGTGCACAATTCATGTGACAAATAGATTGTTGTAAATGACACTTGCGCTTCTGCTTAATTCTGGAGCTTTGCAGAGAGCGACAGCGAGCGGGAGAGAGAAAGAGAAAGAGAGATGGAGAGAGAGATTCTAAATCATTACTCATCAACATCAGGTCTGATCACGGGTCCATTCTTCACAGTCTGAACAAGGAGCTCCCAGTAAGTGTGCTCAGCATTGTCCCCGGCATTCACACTCTCCAGGAAAGGACCATAGTTTGGGTCCTCTTTGTAGGTAAACCAGGAAGAACAATGCTCACTGACTACTGACATAACATAACATCTTTGACACATCACCTGGCAATTATAATACCCCTTATCCATTGAAACAGCAAGAATATATCACCATTACTTTAGATATTGAAAACAGGAAAATGCTGTACCACTCCATGCCATGCAATAAATTACACCTTGAACTAAAAACATTGTCTGTAAATTGGCATAGAAAACTATTTCTCAAACTGTATCATCTGTATTGAATATATGAGCTATTCTAAAAATCAATTAGACAATGGAATCTAAATGTCTACTAACTTGAAGTCTGCATTCGTCTCCTGCAGTCTCCTCATGGCACCGATTGGGTGCATTGGAGATGCTGTTGACTATCTTTAACTCGGTGAGGTTTTGTCCATAAACTTCTGTAATAAAATAAACATTTTACATTTGAACTGTACTGTATAGGTTATAAAGATACAATTACAAAGAGGTAAAGTAAGTAAATATGTTCTAAATGACTTTCAGTCAAGATCCCAGGAACCAACAACAGCAGAGCTGCGGAGAGAAAAGATGCTATGGTCATCATACTCATCATGTATTCAGTTGGAAGTGTACAGTACTACTTTTTATATTAGACTTGTAGCCACTCCTTTAATGAGTGCATATTCCTTATCTAGGCAACATGTTAGCAAGGACTGTAAATAATCTGATTTTCATTCATTTGTCATGCTGTGTATTGTACTGCTAAACTCAACATTAAGTTTGTGTTTACATTTTAGTCAACGCTCTTATCCAGAGCGACTTACAGTTAGTGAGTGCATACATTTTTTCATACTGCCCCCCCGTGGGAATCGAACCCACAACCCTGGCGTTGCAAGCGCCATGCTCTACCAACTGAGCTACACGGGACCGTATCTTGTATGTATCACCATCAGTCAATTGTTTCGGGGCACTTTAAAAAGTAAACTTGGATTATCGCACAATGACCTTCTATTCACCTTTCATAGTTTACTTGTTGTACCAGTTTATAGTAGCCTGAGTACGAGTCTCTTTAGTTAACGTTCCACTCTTTGCCACTCCTTGTCATTGCCAAAGAGTGACTATTCCTCAGAGTAGAATACACAGTGGTATATCTAAAAGGTAAAATATAAAAGTTTGTAAAAAAAAAAAAAATCTTAATATTCATAAGTGTAAGGGAAAACTAGTCAGTTGCACAACTGAACGCATTTAATCAAAATTAGTCTTTCGCATTTAACCCAACCCTTCTGAATCAGAGAGGTGCTGCCTTAATCAACATCATCTGCGCCTGGGGAGCAGTGGTTGCTGGGGGTTAATTGACCAGTTGAATCCAGGTGAAAGCTATGATCCTTTTTGATGTCACTTGTTAAATCCACTTTAAATCAGTGAATATGAAGGGGAGGAGACAGGTTAAAGAAGGATTTTTAAGCATTGAGACATTTGAGACATGGATTGTGTATGTGTGTCATTCAGAGGGTGAATGGGCAAGATAAAATATTTAAGTGCCTTTAAACGGGACATGGTAGTAGGTGCCAGGCGCACCAGTTTGTGTCAAGAACTGCAACTCTACTGGGTTTTTCACGCTCAACAGTTTCCCGTGTATATCAAGAATGGTCCACCACCCAAAGGACATCCAGCCAACTTGACACAACCATGGGAAGCATTGGAGTCAACATGGGCCAGCAACCTGTGGAATGCTTTCGACACCTTGTAGAGTCCATGCCCCAACGAATTGAGTCTAATCTGAGGGCAAAAGAGGGGCGGGAGGGGCAACTGAATATTAGGAAGGTGTTCTTAATGTTTTGTACACTCAGTGTATTTAATCATGAATCAATTACATTCTACCATGCTTTCGTTTAATCTTACCGCTGTGGACGTATTTGTCATCTCCTCTGAGTAGATACAGTACGTGGGATGTGCCTCACCACCACAGCCTTGAAGGGGTTCAAATGCATCCGTCCACGTGCTTTGTAAGTATCCTGCTGCCAAGAACTATGAACTCCCTTCTCACGTGCTCCTGTGTTTGCAGACAGAAGTCTGACAGGGATTTGATGTGTCTTTCGTTGGGAAGGTGGTGAGGTGTGATGGGTCCAGTTTAGAAGCTTGTTGTGTTTGTTGTTGGCTTCCTTGTGCACCCTCACAAAAAAGTTATAATTGTCAAAGATGATGGTGTATGATGGAGGGGTTTGTTGTGGTTCAATGACAGGAGATGGTGTGTCAGGTTCCATATCTAGTCTCTGAAGATCCAACCATGCCAACTCTTCATTTGTGATCGTGGAATTGAAAGAGCTTGGTTCTCTTCCGGCACTGCTGGTCCAGCTTGAATGAGTGGAGGAGTGCATGCTGCACTGTTTGCGCAATGTTGGTGATAACGCTCACAGTCCTCCTTCCAACCTTTGACTGTATGGTCAAAGCCAGTGGCCATTTCTCTCTGTTATTTTTTTTTACAGTGTTGTGATGGGTAGTTGAAAGACACATCTTAGAGAACCGGTTGAAAACTATGGAACCATTGTAAATACTTCCTCCTCCATTGCTTCATATGTGAAGGTTTTAAGATCATCTGGGGAGGTTCTTTTCAGGATGGAAACCAACATAGCCTTGGCCTCCCTCTCTACCTACAGCCCGACTTGCTTCCATATCTCTTGGGATAGTTTTTCATGCACTATGACCAATTTTGCGGCTGTTGCCCAGTTACCCCTTGAGACATTTTCAATGCTGCCAGCTATATCTGACCCTACAGTTGTTTTCGCTGTAGTCTTACTTTGATATGAAGTGACAATCTGCCAAATAAACAAGAAACGAAAAGTAAAAATTGGCCTACTACAAAATATGTATTTCTCTAACATTGAGTTAATAGTCATGTACTTCATTAGTTGCATTGTAACTGTGGTATCTAAGGAATGTATGACTTTGTTAGCTTTGCAAATGGTAATGTGGTATCTAAGGAATTTATGACTTTGTTAGCTTTGCAAATGGTAATGTGGTATCTAAGGAATGTATGACTTTGTGGGCATTTGCAAATGGTAGTGTGGTATCTAAGGAATTTATGACTTTGTTAGTGTTTGCAAATGGTAGCTTAGAGAATGTTGATTTGGCCCAGGGAGACATCTGGAGAGCAGTTCTACAGGAGTACCCTAAAACAGAGGAAGTCTGTTGTGTGGAGTGATGGGATTGGTCTGTAGGGGAAGCCACCCCTATCTTGGTAAAGATTATAAATACTTGGTGAAGACAAAGGAGGTCAGAACAACATATTGTTTTGGGTCCACTGTTCTCCAGATGCCTGCAGGTATCTGTAAATCGACGCTGAAATCCTTTGTTATGAATAAACCTTTATAATCAAAGTACAGTGTCAGCGGATCTCCTTGTCCTCCACAGCATGATTAGCAACATGTTTTCAGACACAACATAACAATTATCGACTTGATACCGTAATTATGCCAGGACGTTTGTATTAGTTTTATTGCGGTAACGTGTAATTTACATGTCATTACACATGCACACCACCAAGTGGTGTAGCACTGAATTTGAGTACCTATTGGCAGTTGTGAAGTACCCAATAGTCATACTTGAGTAAAAGTAAAGATACTTTAATAGAAAATTACTCAAGTAAAAGGGAAAGTCACCCAGTAAAATACTACTTGAGTAAAAGTCTAAAAGTATTTGGTTTTAAATATACTTAAGTATCAAAAGTAAATGTAATTGCTAAAATATACTTAAGTATCAAAAGTAAAAGTAAAAGTATAAATAATTTCACATTCCTTGTATTAAGAAAACCAGATGGCACGATTTTCTTGTTTTTTAAATTTACGGATAGCCGGGGGCACACTCCAACACTCAGACATCATTTGCAAACAAAGCATTTGTGTTTAGTGAGTCCGCCAGATCAGAGGCAGTAGGGATGACCAGGGATGTTCTCTTGATAAGTGTGTGAATTGGACCATTTTCCTGTCCTGCTAAGCATTCGAAATGTAACGAGTACTTTTGGGTGTCAGAGAAAATGTATGGAGTAAAAAGTACATTATTTTCTTTAGGAATGTAGCGGAGTAAAAGTAAAATTTGTCAAAAATGTAAATGGTAAAGTAAAGATACCAGAAAAATCTACTTAAGTAGTATTTTAAAGTATTTTTACTTAAGTACTTTACACCACTGCCTATTGGGTATCATTGTTGCAAAATACATTTACACATACAGTACCAGTCAAAAGTTTGGACACACCTACTAATTCAAGGGTTTTTCTTTATTTTTACTATTTTCTACATTGTAGAATAATAGTGAAGACATCAAAACTATGAAATAACACACATGGAATCATGTAGTAACCAAAAAAGTGTTAAACAAATCAAAATATATTTGAGCTTCAAATAGCCACCCTTTGCCTTGATGACAACTTTGCACACTCTTGGCATTCTCTCAACCAGCTTCAACTGGAATGGTTTTCCAACAGTCTTGAAGGAGATCCCACATATGCTTAGCACTTGTTGGCTGCTTTTCCTTCACTCTGCCGCCCGACTCATCCCAAACCATCTCAATTGGGTTGAGGTCGGGGGATTGTGGAGGCCAGGTCATCTAATGCAGCACTCCATCACTCTCCTTCTTGGTAAAATAGCCCTTACACAGCCTGGAGGTGTGTTGGGTCATTGTCCTGTTGAAAAACAAATGATAGTCCCACTAAGCCCAAACCACATGGGAAGGCGTATCGCTGCAGAATGCTGTGGTAGCCATGCTGGTTAAGTGTGCCTTGAATTCTAAATGAATCACAGACAGTGTCACCAGCAATGCACCCCCACACCATAACACCTCCTCCATAATAATAATAATAATATGCCAATTAGCAGACGCTTTTATCCAAAGCGACTCACAGTCATGCGTGCATACATTTTTGTGTATGGGTGGTCCCAGGGATCGAACCCACTACCTTGGCGTTACAAACGCCGTGCTCTACCAGCTGAGCTACGGAGGACCACGCTGTAGCTTTATGGTGGGAACAACACATGCGAAGATCATCCGTTCACCCACACAAAGACACGGCGGTTGAAACCAAAAATCAAAAAATTTGGACTCCAGACCAAAGGACAAATTTCCACCGGTCTAATTTTTTATTTTATTTAACCTTTATTTAAACAGGTTTTTCTCATTGAGATAAAATCTATTTTTCAAGAGAGACCTGGTCCAACAGCAGCAGGGGAAACAAAGTTTCAGACAAAACTACTTACATACACTAACACAACATTGAACAAAACTATAGACACACATACAGTACAACAATTACATATTACGTTAAGAAACACAAATGTCATAACTAAGCTTAGCAGTTTTTCTGCTAAGGGGACAGGACAACTTCATCGCATCAAAG